ATTCACAGTTTCCAATTGCATCATATGTCTAAGCCTCTCTGTGCATTAACTACATGGCTGCAGAAGTATAATCAAAAAGTATTTTAAATGAGAGGAGGCCTGTGTCTGGATAAGAGGAGGTGCTCCTAAGGTCTCCTCTTTGCCTCTCTCTGCCCTTATCAGTGGATTGATTGTTTTGTTTTGTTTGATTGCCCCCTGCCCTGTAAATATTAAACAAGTAGATCTAGGAGGAAAAATAACTTAATGAGATAATAAGAATCTCCCTTGGGGGGGGAAATAAAATAAATTCCACCTTGTGAAAATGAATTGTACTAAAGCAGAAGGGAGAAGACTTTGAGAGGACAGTGACAGGCAGCTTGAAGCATCTTCTGAGGTGACCTCCCCCCTCTCACTCCCCAATCACCTTGTATGCTGTAGCAGTGCAAGGAGGGGGAGATGGTGACAGCGATAATTAGTTACTGTCTCTGGTGTTTCGCTTGCCCAGTCTCCTGCTGTGGCCTGTGTTTGCCCTTCTATTTCAAATTCACACAGCTCTGTATGTTTTTGCTTGTTTCCACCACTGCAGTCTCATAATGATGCTTATACATCACTCTAAACTGACTCCCACCGAGTCTATAAGGGGGAAGAAAGCACAGCTGGATATTTATGTGCTGCTGTTAGAGGATAGGCAACAGGTAGAGACCGAAGGCATGCTAGGTATCTGAAGTCATCAGAAATGGTTAGAGATAACAAATGTATCTTCTGCCACCAGTCTTGTCTTTCATTCCTGCTCAACAGTGGCAAATAAACACTAAGGAATATGCTGACTATATTTACTTTAGCTTTCTTCACGAGGCAGGAGCCAAACACACATCTAGGAACAATTGCACCCTGCATCTGTGAGTGATCATCCTGCTTAAATACAGCAGCAGACCTGACTTTGGAGAGCAAAACAGAGCCCTTCCCCTGCCTCTGCTGCTCAGCTGTGCAGGCAGAGCAGGAGCAGGGAGGAGGAGGGTGGTGGTGCAGACTTTTGGCTGCCTTAAAGTGACCACATCCTGTTAGGCTGTGGAAACATCAGAGTAATGCAGAGATCTGTCTGTCTGAGACACAGGAGTGCTTGTGGGGATCCAGCAGATAATTTGCAGACACGTTTGTGTTGCTGCAGGAGGAACAGTGGTGCAGGGAGAACTCCTGACCTTGCTCCTGCCCTCGGCCTGTTCGCCCACTTCCCACTCGCATCCCAGCTCTCTGTAGCATTTAAGTACAGTGCAAATGGATTTATTTCAATGAGGTTGCTTTCTTTTCCTCTGGTGCAGCTCCCAGATACTGTTTTCTCGATGTTCCATGGGAAGACTAGCGCCGATGGCAGAGTAATGCTCAGAGCAGCAGCCTGTGGCCTTTACCTGAGATCCTTCCCCAGCCGTGTCAGAGTGCCACACCTTGCAAGGTGGGAGAATTTCCTTGTATGAGCAGGAAGCCAGGCACCGTGAGACCGGGGCTTGCTCACCCAGGACTGCGCAGGAGCACTAGTGGCACGAGAGAGGATTGACAGTGAGTCTCTCAAGTTCCAAGTCAGTACCCAAACCAAGACTTGCAGTACTACACCATGTACAAGTGGCATGTGAGATCTTAACAAAGGGCAGATCGTTTATGATGATGGTTAGGTTCTGTTGAAGTCACATGCTTAAATCTAAGTGTGCCTGGGAGTTTTGCTGAGCCCGAGTGGGTATAAGAATGCGAAGTGCTTTCCTGACACAAAATCTAAATGAGGAAGTGGCTTGTGCACATATGACTGCTAATAGCAAATGGCGTTCATCCACTTTCAGACGGAACTGGAGGAACTTTGGTTTTTCTGGGGACAAAAAAAAAAAGGCAGAAACCTCTTCTAGTGGACCAGTATCCTACAGAGCCCTGTTGTGTTGTGGCTAGAAGATCAAGAAATCTCGGTACAGGCAACTGTATGTAAAATATTTGGGGCAGTTCTGTTCTTTCTTGCTGTTGGCCAGAAATTGCTTAAGTGCTAAAGTTCAAGGCTTCATGTTCCTATTTTGCTTTTTAAAGCAAATGTGAGGGAGGTGGTGTTTGTGCTTCATAGAAGAGCTGAACTGGATGCACAGAATCCTCTTAGGATCAGGCACAGGTCAGGAAGGAACAAATGCACCAAGCATCCTTAGAGGGTTTCTTTCCACTTCCCTGTCAGTGTAGCCCTGTGGCTTTTTCCTTTCCAAATACAGCTTTAATCTAAGACGACAATATCTGTCAAGATCAAGTGTATTCTCATTAAGGCTGTGTTGCACACCTTTTTCGATTATACTTGTTAATGTCTCAGTGTGGACTGTTAACATAATGCTGCAGGTATGACCATTACTTGAAAAAATAGCTCTGGATACAAACGTCTTTGTGCCTTTTCTTCCCAAAAAAAGATAACTGACCATACCGCATCTTTTCACATGAAAATGTGCTATGAAATTACCATTATGTACCAGCCAGGGCTAAGAAGTTGTTGGATAACACAGTGCAGAAAAGAGAGTTGATTCTGCATGGTAAGTCAGAAGCCTGTAATGTAGTTGTTTGTGCCATTTTGTGAACAGGAGTAGGACATTGTACTTTCAGAGAAATCTTGGACTCCTTTACTGCAATGGTGATGATTGTAGCACTGTGACTGATCTTGGCAGTTCATGCAAATGACACTTTAAATGGATTGTGTCAATATAATTGTAAGGACCTCCCTAAACTGAGTGCTGGCCTGTTAATAGGCGATGCCATGCCAACACTCGCTGTTGTCCTGCATGTCCCAGGGGGACCTTCCCAAGGAGCCTCATCATAGATGATTGGTCCTCCTAGACACCATCCTGTGGGGCCTGGGAAAGAGGAGCTGACACAAGACTGTGCTTGTTGGGAACAAAAGACTTCCAAAAAATATTTTAACACTAGGTTGCATCTCGCCCAATTATTTACTCACAGGGAACTGGGCTCCTACTGCATCAGGAGACTTCGATCAGCTGATGCCTGACAGCCTCTTGTCAGGGATCCCAAAGAAGGTACGAGGGTTTGTACCAGGTTGTTGTGTGGGAAACTGAGGACAGCACAGAGCGAATAAAAAAAATCATTTTCCTTATGTATCCACCAAGTTTAGCTGCAGGGAGAATACTAGGGTGAATGCTGAGTCCTTGGAAATAGGCTTTTACAATGGAAAATAACAAAACAGAGCTTTCTTTCTAATGCTGGAAGTTCCCTCCATTACCCCTTTTCCTTCTTTATTGCTTGCTTTCAGATGGAAGCTAACTTCTTAATTCTGACCTCTGTGTGGTGAGCGTGTGTTTCAACAGAGCCTGGGAGCAGACAGTCAAAGCAGAATTTTTGGATCGAGTCAGTGGGACACAGGAAGGCTCTGGTCCACGGTGCATGGCAGCGCAGGGCTGCCAAATGCCCTTCTCAGTGCGTGGCTTGGCACAGCAAATCTGCTGATGCAAGCGTAATGCTTTCGAGGTGTTCTGGCATGATGAAGTCTGTAAGGAGTGAAGATACCAAAAAGAAAAACTGCCTGAGTTCATACATTCTTGACAGGTACTGGATTGTCTCTTGTGGCTTTTTTGGTTTTTTTCTTTAAAAGACTGATTTATGTTAACGCTGTTTTTCTGTTAAGACCCCTTTAAAATAGATCAAGTCAAAATGTGTTGTAATTTGTATGTTATTTTTAATCCCCATTTATAATGATGCCTCAGAAGCCTGAAATCAACATCTGTTTCCTTCTTGGATTGGTTTTCTTCCATAGAAGACACTTCCCTTTTTTATTTAACTACTTAAAGTCACCCTGTTCTGTAATCAAGGGCTGAAAATTCATATATCACGGTCATATCGGATGTGTCGTGGGGCATGGCAGTTCGCTACTGCAGAATCTAACTTGTGGGGAAATATCTGGCCTCTGTGCAACACGGAGGAGGGGAAGAGGACATCTTCAATCCTTTGCTCTTCAGTAACTTGCCCTTGGAAAAATGTAATTACCCTCTTTAACTTCAGTGTCTTTGTAACTCCTGTTGCTGTGCATTGTGCCAATGATTTCAATGATTTTAATCAAATCACATGCTTCAGGGATTCAGCTCGTCTTGGAGGGGTAAGAAAAAAATTTACCTCTTCCCTTAATGCTTTTCTTTTTCATTCTCTTCCCGCTCCCTTCCCCTCCCCCCCCCCGCTTGTCCATGCAGTCTTGCTCTTGGTGCTCAAGTCACACTGACAGCCAGATCTGAGTGTGGAACTGAAGTTTCCCTCAGGTCAGCTCAACAGGAACGCTGGATGATGCTCATTTTCCTCTGCAGCACGGGGCTGGGACTGGGCAGCTTGTTTGCTTGCTTCTTTGAAAAGAAGTACAGTTTATCTGGTGTGCTCGTCCTTGAAAAGTGAAATAATACATTGAGCAGGAAGAGACTTGGACTTGTCAGGTGTTACTCGATTCTTGCAAGGCAGCTGCTAAAACTGTATAATCCAAAAAAGAGGTGGAAAAAAAAACCCCTAATCACTCTTGACAGTTGTAGGTGCTTGATGGGATTGGACACACACTTAGTTTCTCTGCATACACAGACACCCGTGGAGAAAAGGGAAGGGTAAAGGCCTGGGCTCCCCCCTTCTCCAGAGCTTTGGCACAGCACCTTCCCCGCTTTCCCTCAGCGCGGTGGCAACCCCGGGGGGGGCCTGAAGCCCCTCAGCCCGCCCGGCCTCCCGCGGGCGGGGGCTGGGGGCTCCGGCCCGGCGCTGCCCACCCCCTCCGCCTCCCGCGGGCGGCAGGTGCCCCCGGCGGCACCGGGAGCGCCCCCCCTCCCCCCCCCCCCGGGGCGGCCCCGCGCTCCGCTCCGGCACCGGCCGCCGGCGCGAACAAAGGCGGCGGCGGCGGCGGCGCGGCCCGTGTGGGGCGGCCCGACCGCCCGCCCCTGCTTCCTGGGCCGGGCCGGGCCGGGCTGGGCGAGGCGAAGCGAAGCGAGGCGGCCTCCGCGCCCCCGCCCCGCCCCGCCGGCGCGGAGCGGAGCTGCCGCCGCCGCAGCAGCAGCAGCGACAGCAGCGCCGGTCGCGGGGCGCGCTCGCCGCCCGTCGCAGGAGCTAGCTGCATGTGCGCGGGAGCAGCGGCGGAGGATGGCCGTGCTGAAGCTCGCCGACCAGGTGGGCGCCGCGGGCGGGAGCGGGCCGGCGGGCTCTCCCTCAGCCTCAGCCTCGGCCCCGGCTCCGCGCTGTGGCGGGGCGGCCGCGCCGCCGGGGGAGGCCCCTTCTCCTCAGCCGGGGAGGCGGCGGGGCTCGGCGGGGCTGGGAGCGGCGCTGTCACCCCTTCCCGGGGGCGGTCGCCGTGGGGTGCCGGCAGCCCGCCGAGCCGCCGCGGATGCGCTTCTCTTCCTCTCCCGGCGGACATTGTCTGTGGCCGCGCAGGCGGCGTGTGCGGGCCGGGAGCCCGGGGCCGGGAGCCCGGGGCCGGGAGCCCGGGGCCGGGAGCCCGGGGCCGGGAGCCCGGGGCCGGGAGCCCGGGGCCGGGAGCCCGGGGCCGGGCAGGGCGCAGCTGGCCAGCCGTCGCCAGCCGGGTACTCGCCACCGGCGCTCGCCCGCCCCCCGCCGCGCAGCCGACCGTGCCGGCGTCGCCCCGCGGTCCTCGGTGAAATCCTGACATCTCCCGTCGGCGGGGTGGGAATGGAAGTGGATGTTGGCTCGTTTCGAAAGGCCTCTCGGCTCTGCTTGTCCTTCCTCGGGATTTCTCCCTCGTTCCGTTGCTGTGCCATACGTAGAAATTATTTTTCCTGTCGCTTTACTTAAGAAGTGCCTTTTCGGTTTAGCTGTCTCTGTTGTTCGCAGGCTGCTAGGAAAAAACATAGTATTAAACCCTTAGATTGTGTTATATTTAGCAATGGTCAGACAGCTGTAATCAGTATTACAGTATTTCTTATCACTGGTAGTTAAAAGCATTTAAAAATATTTAGTAAATTGATAGTATGTCTCCCACACCCTGATTTATCCACATACTCTACCAACTGTTACACACTTTGCGTGCTTTAATCTGCTATTTTTAATTTAATGTGGTCTGTCTGTGATCTGCAGCGTGGGTGTCCTGCAAGCCTCAGACCTTCCTGTTGGGTTCAGAAGGACTCTCTGCAGCCAGCCCCTCTCCAAAACACCCCTTACTTACAGATCCCAAGCCTCGCTCGCAGTCTATTTATTCTTTTCTAAGAAAATCTTCCACACGCACAAAGCTGCTACATAGCATGTTGAAAAGAGTTTTGAAAGGAAAAAAGGATAAAGCTGCTTCTAAAGTCAAAGCGGCACTGTGTGACCAAGCACAGTCTATAATGCGTTTTCGTGTGTAACAGAAGGCAGTATTTATGGACTGTCTCCTGACATGTCCCTTGAACATCCTCATCTTTAGATGTGGTGCTTATGACTGGCAAAGAAAATGTTTCACGCCATGAGGCTTCACTACCCTGTGGTGCACAGACTGAGTCTCATAAATAAGGAGATTCTGGTAGGGTTTGCGTATTAGAAGTCCAAACAGCAAGCATTAAAAATTCATATGTTACAGAGGATCAAAATTATACCATTTCAATGCTTTTTACACATTTAATGAAGCTCCAGAATCTACTGCTTTTAGAGTTTTTAAACCTTTGCTGGAATCTTGCAGCAAGGATTTTGCTTCAACAGCAGCAGCAGAAGTCAAAACAGATTTAAGTCAAGTGGATCACATCTTGCTGTATTGATATAAAAAATGATGGACTGTTGTCTTAGCATTCTCCCTTCTCTTCTGAGAACCCTCAAGGCTGAGGGACGAGGCTTCTTTAGAGCTGCTGTTACGTCCCTGCAGCACACCTGCTTTGGGGACGCTCAAAATATTGGTGGATGCTTATGGCTCCTGGTCAGGCTGTGGCCTGGGACATCATGTCACAGACTGATAGTTTTTCTTTGTGGGTATGTGTCTCCTGTCATTTATGAAGGGATATGTTGGTCTACCTGTGCTCATCCTATGGGATCTCTTGGTTTTTCTCAGTTTCTTCACCAGGTCTTTTTCCTTCACTCCTGAGGGACTGGAGGAGGGGGAAGATACATTCAAAGCCGGCTGTGGTGCTTCCTCTTAAACCGAGTGCAGAGGTTTACGTGTGCCTGTCTCTGTGCCTTTGGAGCTGTTGCTGGCAGAGCCTTTCCAACACGCAGCCCGAGCAGCTGTAACCGAGGCGCAGGGGCTGCGCAGCCTGCAGTGGCAGCTCTGTGTCTGTCAGGCCAGGCTGTACTTTTCATCTACGCCAGGTTTGAAGAGCACTATCCCCAGGCTGGCCCACCTCTGACTCAAAGAGACACAGTAGCAGCCGCCCCACATGTTTATAGACAGAGCCAGGCAAAACAGAGGTGAAGCTGGGGTGAAGAATGACGTGCCTGGGAAGATTTGCATTCCTGTAACAACTCCTGCCTGTGCTCAGACTTGCTGAGGCTGTGGGAGCAAGCTCCTTCTCTGTTTCTTCCCGCTCTTGAGGATCGAGGCAATCATGGCAGCAGTAACTTGCAGCGATTCAGGAAACCATTTCCTTTTGCTTCGACACCAGAGGCCACAGCAGTCCGTGTGCTTGCAGTCTCCCGCCGTGAGAATTCCACTGCGCAGGACCCTGCGCACCATGCATACCTGCGGCGGTCGGACCTGGGCTGCGGTGAGCGTGGGCTGCTTTTAGCGCACCGAGTGTGAAGTCTGGTTCAGGTCTTAGTTGCAGTGCTCAGGGGAGTTTGACTGTGAAGCTGAGAGCTTTCTTCTCTGCCTGTCATTGTGAGCTCTGTAGTACATGCTTTCCTCTGGATCCATGACTTTCTTGACCAGCGAGGAGAGCTTTGTGGAGAAGAGTAGAGAACCCTCATGCCGAGAGCTAAACGCTCCTTTCTCCAAGTAACCTGTTTCCTCCTCGCCTCCATTCTTGGCTTCTCTTACCAACTGCATCTAACAGCACCCGGAGCATGCAGACAGATGAGGAATTAATCACACCATTTCTCATACGGGCTTTGAAGACAGACGGACTTTCATTATTGCTTCTTTTTTTGATATAGCTGAAGGATGCTAAGGTATTGCTACGCTTAATCCTTCAAAGGGATTATCTGTACTTTTGGCTGCATTCACTCCTTAGGCAGGAGAGCTTAGTTGAAGAGTTCAGACTTAGTATAGGTTACTTGAATTTGCTTCCAGTGATGGTAATTGCTAGCTCATCAGTCAGGCCACGAGAAACCCTTAAATCATTTAACCACAGGAAATGTATTCTACCATTATTAGTTTCTGCATGATTTTTTTCCAGGCCTTCCTTTCTTCAGTAACCCCCCCACAAGCCAGTTTTGAATGACTAAATATTAAACTGAAAACCTAAGATAATTCATAAAACTGAAATTTAATGCCTAGGATTGTAATCTTGTGTCTGTAGAGGTGTGTTTGTGCAGTTGTAAACATTCTGATGTTCTGAATATTTCAGCTGTCATATACAAACACTGCAAAACTTACTCTAAATTTTAAAACTTTTATCCATTTTTTTAAAAAAAATCTCTGTAGTGAATGTTGATTACAGCAAGTATGCAAATTGCTTTTAGAACTGAAAAAAACAATATAATTTTTCAATTCTAAGAGTTATTGCTTGTTCCCCATCCAGTTTATTGGCTGTACCTTTTTCATTTTGATAAGCATTAGTATTTTATATTATGTGAGGGTGCAGCTGTATGTGATAAAAGCCTTTGCATTTAAGCTAGAGTTCAGAAGGAGCAGAAGACACATCTGTCAACAAGTGGCTTTCAGGTGTGAGTTGCACTGACACAGCTTGTGCCTGGCTGTGCACATATGACAGGACAGGAAAATCCTTGATGTGCCCCTCAGGTGCTGTTTGAGGAAACCTGCTTGCTGCAGCTCTTCATTCCTTCCCGTATTTTGAGCTGCCATTCCTCCCGCCTCATGAGTCTCCCTCCCCCTTCAACAAAGCTCTTTAAGGGTGAAAGTATCGATTGGTTTTTGACTTTTGTGGCTGCTTTTTGAGCAGTAGTTATTGCCTGGACCCACCTCTCTCCTGTCCTCTGAGTAACCAGCAGATGCAGGGTGCTTCTGCCGCCACTCTCCCTGCCTGCAGTTCTTTGCACGGCTTTTTCTTCATGCTTACACCGCGTAACTCGGTTTCTTGAGAACTTTTTGTTTGCCACCTGCAGACATTTCAAGAGAAAGCCTGTTAGTCAAAGTCCTGCTGAGCGCGCTTTTAATCTTCAGGGTTTCAGTTGATGGTTCTGGGCAGAAACCACAGACAATTGCTCCTGTCAGCACTCTGTCGAGAGGGTAAAATATCTCAAACTATTTCTCTATGTAAACTTTTGTGAGTTAGCTTTTGGAAGATTATTTTGGAAGAATCTAAGTTTCTGTAGTGTCTCCATCTCATTTCCAGACTTGCCTTGCCAGCTGAGGCCCTCCTTGCAGGACCGCCAGCAGTGCCCACGGGCCTGCAGGTTGTCTGTAGCTGACTCCGTCCTCTTCTTCCTGTTTACAGCCAACAAAGCCGCTCCGTGCGCGGCTGTGTTTGATTCGGGATGCCAGCTCTCTGCCTGTGCAGGCCGGGTCGCCTTCACGCGCCTCAGCCCAGATGTGCCCATCGTGCCGTGTCGGAGGCAGCGACGGTCCGAGCGGCTCACGCGTGGGGACGCCCTGCTTGTTGGTGTCCGTCAGAGGCTGATGCAAGCTCTCCCCTGCCTAGCTGTTGATTATAGTTATGCGTGTTTACAGAGGAAATGTGTCATTCCCTCTTTGAAAGACACTGAGAATGTTTTCTATAAACAGAAATAAAATGGGAAGCTACCTAGAGGTGAAGCCTGCATAGCTACTTTTAAGAGATGCAGTGCTTAGTGGTTTTACGTGTGCACCACCAAATTTGGTGGGAAGCTTGCTGTAAATCCAAGACAGACACAGGCTCTGTCTCGCCTTGAGCCAGTGTGCCTGGGGAGTCAAAATTTACCGTGACTTCGGTGTTACTGGCTCAGGCCCTGTACGTACAAAACAACAGAATTATATTTAGGCTACCCTTACAAGCATGCATATGCATGCATAAGGGTAATGAAGCCCAGATAAATGGTTAATATGTGCACTTAGGCTGCTATTAACTGCAGAACCTCATCCTGTCTCCTGGTAT